GTTTTAATCGATTAAAACGTGTTTTAATCGATTAAAAGCAATCTGATCGCTCATATTTAAAATCTGATCGATTATATTTCATTCTGACCTATTATATTCGAATTCCAATCGGTCATAAAGGGTTTTTAATCGATTAAAAGGTTTTTGTATCAATTAAAATGCTGTGAAAACACTTCTATAAACATTCTAAGTGTTTTAAACGTTTCTTTAAAAAACTATATCAGTTAAAACCATTGTTAAGAAGGTTCTTTGTCAAAATGCTTTTGTTTGATTTGTTTAAAACTATTTTTGAGGCATTTTGCAAATTGAGTGAAGAAGCTTTATGCAGTGGAAAAGGTAAAGTGGTTTTACCTAAGCTTTCTGTTTAGACACACTAAGTCTTCAGCTCTTTTGTTCTGAGTGACTTGTTTGACAGCTGCAGAGTTGACCCTTGACTTTATTTTTGACTTCATCAAATCAATGAGATCTTTGCTAGGATCACTTTCATGTTCAACAGCTATCAAAGCTGTCTTGTAATCTTTATCTAAAATGTTTTGTTCAACAGCTGTCAAAGCTGTTTTGTAGTTTTTGCCTGGAAAAGGCTGTGTAGTGCCTACCAAAGGCTTTGTGGTGAAAGGCTTCAAACCTTCCATTAAAATTTTTAAAACAAAATTAAATTATAAAAAAAAGGCAAAAAAATCAGAGAGCAAGTAAGTAAAGCAGCAGGCAAGTGGAGAGGGATAAGGGAATCTAAGGAATACACTGTAAAGCAATATTTATAAAAGAATATAGATAATCATAAGGCTTAAATGAAAATCTTTTTGGTTGATTTTATACAATTTTTTATTTTTATGTTTTTTTAATAAAGTGATAAAAAGAAAAACACACATACAAGAAAGAGAATTAAAAAAAAAATGAAAATATTTTTCTTTGCAAAGACTGCCGCAATATGCAAAGTGTTCCTCAACCCACAAAGGTACTAAATACTTTTGCAAAGACTGCCGCAATATGCAACGTGTTCCTCAACCCACAAATGTAGCTACGCGGGACTTAGGGTCTCGTGGCACTCCCTAGCCTTAACCTGCCCTACTACTGGCTGGGTATCCTAGCGAACACAAACCAGTTCAATTGCAAAAATATCCAGATACTGGCTGGGTATCCCAGAGAACACAAACCAGTTCAATTGCAAAAAATCATATTCAAGGTAACCAAAGAAAGTCCTTGCTCTGATACCAAGAGAGGGGGAGGGGTGGAAACTCAAGACAGAAAACTTGGGGTTTTATCCGCCAGATAACTGAATGATACCCCAAAAATAAAGGTACAGAGAAAGCAGGAAAACCTGCTCAGATACCCGAGGGGTAAACAAGACAGAGAATACCGGGAATGAACCCGGAATAAACCGCCCGAGACACATTATGCAATTATATTAATTTAAATTTTATATATTTTAAAAATACAATATTAATTAAATATTATTATGTTAAAAATATTTTATTTATTTAATTTTAAACATTTATAAGTTAATGTTGATTATATTAATGACACGTAATCGATTATATAACTTCAACCTAATCCATTATATATCTTTGTTGAATAGTTATTTGCTATGTTTTTAGTTGTAAAATATTACTAGTTTATGCAATTTTTGTGAATATCTTTTTGCAATTATGACGGGATTTTTAAACTTATTTTTAAGATCTAGGATTTACGTGCTTTTTTATTTTAAGATGTAACATAAATTGTTATTTTAATCATTTAAATATTTTTATAGGGTTTTGGGTATATTCATATTTTTATGGAAATTACCATAAATTTAGGGGTTTTTAATAATTTCAAAATTATTATAATATTTGAAGATTTATTTTTTAATTTTTAAAAATTAAATTAGACTATATAATTTTAATAATTTTGAAATTTTTAGTTTTATTATTTATTTATTTATTATTTTGTAAGAATTCGAGGGACTGTTAGGAATTTGTAATCATATTTTAAACAATTCTAATACTTTTAAAATTTTTTGTTATGGTGTACGTTTATTTATTAATGTTTTTAAACTAGATTAAGCTATTGCCTATCCTAATTTTAAAATGAATGATTAGTATTTATAATATATGTATTATTATTATTAAAAACTAGATTAAAGTTACGGAGTTTTAATAATTTTAATAATTTTATATTAAGATTTAATTATTATTTTATAAAAATTATAATAGGATTAATGATATATATATATATATATATATAAACTATATCAAAACTTAATTAATGGTATTTATATTTATAGGTTTCAAGCCATGTGTTCATAATCTTCCAAATTAAATGGACAAATATATGTTCAAGAAAAGAAAAAAAAAGAGAGAGAAAGAAAAGTAAAAGAGGTAGACTAATTCTTTTAAAAAATTTGTCTCATTTTCATTTTTTTAATATGAACATTATTTCGGAAAGATAAATAAAAATAATTATTACAATTATTATGATAATAAATTCATTGTTTAATGAAATTTGACTTTTATTATTATTATTATGGATGAATTTGAATTTTCTCAACGTTTAGACAAATTTTTAACATCTTATTATTATGATTTGATCAAATTTTTATACAAATACAAAATTAGTAAACACACATAATCTAGTAAGTGAGAATCTATAAAGACATTAGGATCAAACTTTATGTCTTGTTGATTATGATCCATCTAAAATATCATGACCCCAGTATTAACTTGTTGACATTTCTAATAAGCTGAAATATATAAGGACAAGATTTTGATTGTCATTATTAGATTGAAACTACATATTAATATTTGTAGGAATGTTATACTAGTTTGACCTTACAAACTTCTTTATACTAAAATGATGTGGGATGACATTTTATGACAAGGGGGTATGATATGATTAATTAACCACATCATATCATATATTATGTCATGTTTTAATCACTAATATTCTATTATATTCAGGGGTCGACTTAATACTAAAATTATCAAATATATTTAATAAAAAAATTATAAAAATATTAATGTGATTAAATTTAGTATACATAATACCGTTTGCGGGATCACCACCTAACCACTTAACCCAGAGAAAAAAAAGCCTTCTAATTGAAAATGAAGTTGTTGAGTTCAATAAAAATAGACAAATTTTTAAGAAGAATAAATATATCTTTCTCGTCATGATTTAATAAATCTAATATAAGAATATTCTATTAATTAATGATTCAAAATAATTATAGGATTAATGAAATTGAAAACACATTTCTTGTATGCAAAAGAATCTTAAATGGTTTCAAAATAAATAATGTTTTAAAATGATTATAATATATATTTTTCGAATAAAATCTTTTAAAAAGTTTTTTTTAGGATTGAACCCACTAGTTCCACCCTCTTTTATATATATATATATATATATATATATAATTAAATATTTTGTAAGTATTTTTTAAATTTAATTTATTAAAACTATTAATTAAGTTATATAAATTTTGAAAATATCTATACTAATTTTATATTAATTAGTTAGGCAGATATTTTTATTTTAAAAAATAAAATTAATTTTTTAAATTAAAATTAATTTATAGATAAAATAGTTATGGAAATGCTATAATATACAAATTGATTTCTTCAAAAAAAAAATCAAATGAATACAATCTAATAATATATATATATATATATATATATATATATATATATATATATATATATATAATTTTCGCATCTTTCAATTTCTCATCAGCTTTATTATTTTAAAAAAAATTATGAACAACATGATAATTTAATAAAAATTATTAAAATAAAATAATAAAAATTAATATATTTAATAAATCATATTTTATTTTATTAAAATAAAATAATAAAAATTAATATATTTAATAAATCATATTTTATTTTATCATAAATTGATTAATAATATTTTTCAGTTGAAAATATGTTTTAATTTGTTATATGAAATATATAAAGATGAATTACACGCTAGTTTTTTTAAATAATTTAAAATTATTATGAAATATATAAAGAGGAATTACACGGTAGTTTTTTAAATTTTATTTTTGTTTTAAAAATTTTAATGAAAGGTTCACATCCTTTCAACCTTTCAATACTGATCTCTTTTAGGCAAAGACTATAAAACAACTTTGGTAGACTGTTGAACAAATGAACCGGAGGTTAAAATATAAAGTGTGAACTCTTACTAACAACTTAAGCTTTTAGTTAAGTGATTAGCTTTGTACCAAACTCTTGGTATCTAGATCGTGTGCTCGATTCCTATCAAGGACAACACTTCATACCAAACTCGATAATTTTATTATATAATTATATAATATGGCTAGAAAATATCGAAGTTAGTTTATATATATATATATATATATATATATATATTATTTTTTATTAAATAATTATTTATATCATATTATAATTTAATTTATCTTTATTTTTATTACAAATTTACATAAATATGTATATTAATAATTTGTTAATTTATTTCATTATTTAAATTTTAAAAAATTTATTTTGTTTAATTATAAATTTTCATTCATTTATCTTTAATTTTTATTTCAAATAATATTATTTTTCATTCTTCTTCACTCTTTTTCTATTCTCTAAGTCGAAATTCAAGTTAATTAAAGTAGATTATCTAATTGTTATAAATTTATATTTTTATTAATAATTAACTTTTTTATTTAATAAAATTTAGATAATTTTAAAAAATAATACTAAAATTAGTAATAAAAACGCAATATAATAATGATATAAATAAAAAATAAAATAATTTTGTAAAAATGATAAATATACAATTATAAAAATTCCTTTATATAATTATTTTTATTTTTCATTTATTCTTTATCCTTTACTAAGTTACCCTGTCCAATTCTTTCCCCCTCTCTCTCTCTATCTCTCTCTCTTTCTGCTTTACCTCTCTCACACGCACAGACAACACAACCCAAAAGAGAACGTACAAAAAGAACCACGGATTGCAATTAGGGTTTATACTCCGTTCACCGTCGCGGTTATTGCGAGATTACGGATTTCATGATGATGGAAGGAGCGAGCAATGGAGGGATGTTGTACCACGAAGTGCAGGAGTCGAAGCTGTGTGCGGTGCATTGCGTGAACACCGTTTTGCAGGGTCCTTTCTTCTCGGAGTTCGATTTGGCCGCACTCGCGTCCGATCTCGATCGCAAGGAGCGCCAGGTCATGCTCCCCGCACTCTCCTCAGCCGATTTCGAATCGCACAATGTGTCGCTCGACGGTGATTTCAGCATCCAGGTTCGGTTAGGGTTCTCTTTCCCTAATTTTTGTTTTTCTTTTGCGCTGTGATTGTGGATATGTGCGTGAGAATGTGATGTACTTATCGTTGTTTTTGTTTTGGAAGTTTCTAGTTGCTTGGAGTTTAATTTCATAAAAACGGTTTTTAAGGTTTTTTTTTTTTTTTTTTTTTTTTTTGAGGAATTTTGGTTTTGGTGCTTTTGTGATGCTAGGTACTCCTTCAATTGTTCAATACTGTGGCGCATGGGTGAATATATATTTCCATTTGGCTGTCTGTGTTTTAAAATGTTTGTTATGATACTTTTAGTTTATAAAGGAAGAAACGAGTTCTTGAAGAGTTATATGTAGGGATTTTTTGAGCTTGGTTTGTGCATAGCTTGTTCGGCATAGGAGGTCTTTGTGCTGTGTGATGAATTCTGCCAGTGTAGTTTGACTGATTGAATATTGCTCATGTACTTATGTTACGAGATAGTTGTCTATTGAAGGAAGTTCTTTGCATTGACATGGATGAGTGGCCGGGATGGGGGAGTTAGATGTAATAGATGTTTTAAACTTCAATTTGTTTGACTAAGTATGTTTCCTTACTTTAATAATCACTGCTTGTACATTGTTGTAAATGTTGTTCAATAGCCACAATAGACTTATTGCATAGCGAAATTTCTTGAAGCCACGATTGCAACTCTGTATTCTATTGCAGCCACTATCATTGTTGTGGTTGCAGCATGCATCCTACATCCTCCTCATCTGCGACAAGTCTTTAGCCAATTAAACTTTTGAGTCAGTATAATGCCAATTTTTATGTATATTTTTATTTGTGTGCTATTTAATTTTTATACTTATATCTATGAAGCATTGACATGTCCTGTGGTCTGTCCAACACCTTACCGTCACTAACACAGTGTCCACATGCCTTTGACACGTGTCAGACATACCTTTGCAGTGATTGAATAAAACTATTTTATTTAAAGCTATGACACAGGTCGAACACAGTTCCAACATTGGCCAAGATATCGAGTCAACACTTATTCTTGGCCGAACTTATATCTGATTTTTGTGTCCATGTCTTTGATTCGATGTTAGTTTTGTGTCTGCTGTTGGTGTCGTACTCGGGTTTATAGTATATAACTGATATATATATTTCAATCGTTGTGACTTCTGCTATGCTATATGCCTATGACACTATCTGCTGTATATAATATAGAAGATTATTGGCTTTCTGCCATTTTTTGCCATCTCCAATTGAATACATTAGTTTCAACTTGGAACTTACCGGATTCATTTAAAATATAATTTAGTTTCCTGATAGGAACCCCTGCAAGGATTTCAATGCAACCCTATTATATGATGAAAAAGGGAAGCTACTAGAGCAATTATAACAAATTGAAATGATAAACCAGAGGTTATTGCTCCTATCCAGAGAGATACTCTCCTAATCACTTTAATATGATATTCCTCTCCTCTCTCCTTATTCCCCTACTGGCCTATTAAAGCAAGCTGCAAAACAGAGTATGCTAACAGAATCCCCCCTGCAAATGTGCCACTCAATAACTAATTTTCTCTCTCCGGATCCACTTTGTTCCTTCTAGAATATTCTGTCCATATGATGATGGGCTTCTTTGGAGTTAAGTCCTACATCTGACCCGCTGTTGTTCGTTATCATAAAGGCTCGAGGGTTCTATCCTTTTACTGCCTCCTCCGGGAAACTCTGCCTTGTCCTCAAGGCTGAAGTGAGGAAATTGACTTTTGAGAACAAAGTCACCCTCTCAACTAGTATCACAAACTGCTTTGCCCTTTCACTTGACCAGTCATTGTTTAATTGTTTGTCCTACCTCAGTAATAACTCTACTAGTTAGCACCTCTCGAGTTAGTCCATTTCATGGATATCTACATCCTTGCCTTTCCTTGGGCACCTCCTTGTGAACCTGACCCATGATTAGTTAAATTTGGGCCTAAGTTATTGGTTGTCCCAATATTGTTCTTCATTGAAACCCAAGTTCATGATCTATACTATTTGAGCCTCCTTTCCAATTCCTTGATAAGGTAACAACTGTGCCTTGATAACTCCCTCACACATCTCTACCTTAACATCACAAGCCAATTTCATTGTCTGGGCTCGACTATGAGGGTTAAATGTTCAAACTCATAGGTGTAGGCCATGAAAAAGCCTTGCACTAGAGTAACCCACATACTATGCTTTTGGAAGAAGATTCAATAGGAGGAGATATACTCAAAGTTAGCAATGTACTCGTCAGCATTTCCGTTTTGTTGAAGTTTAGTTGATTCTTCAAATGGATTGTCATTCTTCTTGCTCCCATTTCTCTTAATCAAAATTTGTTTAAAAGTAAACCACGTTGAGGTCCCAACACATGGAGGAGACTAAATTAATTATATGTATATCACGCTTGTGGATCTAGAAGAGGGTCCATCGAGGAGCCTTGTTCATTTTCTATTTGTGTATGTTTTGATGATTGTTTTTGTGAATTCTTGTAAAAGATGTTGTAAAATATTAATAAATTGCCTAGAGTTAAGATTTGAACTGGGACCAACAACATAAAATGTCCTCACTTAACCATTGGTGTGAATTAGCTTTGCTTTTTATGAGGGTTTTATTTTTTTTTATTTAATTTTGAAAGAGGCAAATCCACAAAGTTGTCCCTAAGTTATTTAGTTCTATTTCAAATTTAATTGAGCATTAGTTATAGTTAGGCCCAAAATTTCAATGGAGTTGGGTAATTCAAACCCAAAATAGAACAAAAAATAAATATATTTTTTGTAGTAGATGTGACAGAGTGTTACAAAAACAAACATTTTTTAGATATCAATCATGTCGCCGCCGCCAAAAAGAGGCGGTCGGAGCGATGTGATGGTTTTGTTCGACTCGCATTTTTTTAAAGTGTGGTTCAACATTTTTAGGTTGTCCGATAACCGGGCTAGACCTAAAGGCGAGATTTTCGAAAAAGGGTTTTGGAGTCGCCACCAATGTTTTATCCAGAAACATTGGTTAAGGAAAAAAGGAAGGCATTGGTTTTGAAAAACCAACTTTGGCCATTATAACCAGAGTTAGGTAAGGGAGTTAGTTACGCGTAGGGAAGATATTAGCTTCCCTACGACGCCCCTTTCGGGTTCCCTATGATGGGCTGTTTATTTCATAAATAAATCTTAAAAATGACGTTTTTACCTTTAATTTATTTGCGGAATTTAAAATATTGACTACATGGCCCTAACAGGTAATGCACGGATAAATGTAAAGAAAAAGCGGTAAAAGAAAGAGAGAAAGTATGGAAACCTTCGAAGCAAGCTTTCGTTTTTAATATTCTTAAAGTAGGGTGCTTTTTGGCAATCCCTCACTCTACAACGTTGGTCGCTCTTCCTCGCAACGCTACAAAATATCCTCTAAGAATGCTAAGAAACTCTGGAAATGCTTCGGAGGGATCCTAGGAGAAGAATTTGAAGAAGTTGTAGAAGGAAAAGTTGGAGAATGGTGTGAAAAGGAGGGGGTCGCGCCTATAAGGTCGGGATTGTTGTCTCGCTAAACGTGACGACGGTCTCGCCTTTGTCAAATAGCGAGACGGTCTTCTCGCCAAACGAGACGGCGTTATCACCATTGGCGAGTGGCGAGACGACCTACTCGCCAAAGGAGATGGCGGTCTCGGCCTTCTAGGTAGAATTTCTTATTTTTTTTTGTACAAAAAACCTTCCTACTCTAATATGGGGCCTATTAGTCTATCCTAGGGACTTTTAGGCCTTGCCCATCTTCGAATTGGAGGTCTTCTGCTCTTTATTTTGAGGTTGGGCAAGATTTGGGGTCTACTGCTGCTCCCCCTTCACCTGACTAGCCGATTGTCGGTCTGTTATGCCAAAAAGATCGGCTGGAGGGTGAAGGAGTTAACCCTCTTGCCCGGTTGTCCTTCGGTTGCTGTTGTGGTAGTTGACCTTCTTGACGAAAAAATGTGTATGTGCACCTTTGGGATGCTCCTTCATGCGGTAGTCGACCCCTTCGGTTGATGAGTACGAACCCCCTCATTCGGTGTGTGACGAGTATGAACCCCCGCCTGATAAGTCCCCTTTTGTAAGGCTCGATAAGTACGCACCCCCATCTAGTATTTGGACGAGTATGAACCCCCGCCTGGTAAGTCTCCTTTTGTAAGGCCTGATGAGTACGCACCCCCATCTGGTGTGTTGACGAGTATGAACCCCCGCCTGGTAAGTCTCCTTTTGTAAGGCCCGATGAGTTCGCACCCCCATCTAGTGTGGAGTCCACTTCGTAGGATTGGTTGCGACTTACTGTGCCTGTTTTGTACATTCGGCCTCAAGGTGTGCTGTCTTGGCGGTCATTTCTTGAAGTTGGTTATCCGAGCTAATTTTGACAGATTTGGATGCTCGGATAACCTGTTCACTGGAATTAGCACATTGGTCCTTGAGGCGCTCTATCTCGTGATCTTTCTTCTTGCATTGTCTTTGTAGACCGTCGATGGTGAGGATAGATTCTTGCTCCTTTTCTTCAAGGGCCCTCAGCTGGGCTCCCATGATTTCTATCCTCTGGGTCAAGGCGTCGACTTGGCTTTGAAGCTCTTCACTGGTTGAAAGCGTAGCGGATGGGGCTGATGGTTGTGACATCCCTCTATTTCTCCTCCACTCCTCCTAGTCACTGGAGACAGCTACTCGAGCTTTTCTTAGCTCTCTATCTCCCATAAAGACTGGTTTCTCCCATGCTCTTCGTACAACGAGTGAATTAGCAACAGTGCATGGGTCTCCGAAGAAACATAGTCCTCCAAGTTCTTCCCGTAATAAAGCGGTTTGAGTCCTCATGAGTTGTCTCATAGCCACTTTTGGAGAATTGGCTATGCAACCCCTAAGTCCTATTAACGGTATGCTCGGATAATCCCCACATTTGATGAGGATCGGGCCGGGTCAGAACCAAGGACATACCCAAGATAAACGGTTGGCGTCCCATTGTTCCAATTCGACCTTCCACTCCATGGTTAGGCGTCGGTGGAGCGGTATTTTGGAGAAGCTTTTCAAAGGATCGGGGAACATCCCCATGTGACTAGAGGCGTAAAAATGTGTGATACCCCACACAAATAGTAGTGAAGAGCAGCATTTGAGTGTTCTTCCTTGCTTCTGGTGACAGAATTCCACCGAAAGCAAGGTGTCGGCAAGAAGTGCAGGCAATGGACTCTTCGAGTTCACGTCCCAGGCGAAGAAGGCGTCCATGACGGCTTGATCCACTGTGTCGAGGTGGAAGGGAAACAATATCGTTCCAAACACGATTAAAGCCAGGGTTTTGTTAAAGGCAGACCAGTCTACCCTTTCAGCTAAAGAAGACAGATAGTCTTCTAACATTAAAACTTTCCAACCCTGGACATTCCCTTTTGCTAATAGGATAGTCTGTCGAGATGGCAGCGACTTGGGCTGCAGGAGGCATGGCGAATATGGATACCGGCTGACTTGGGCCATTTTAGCATAATTTCATACTCCTCGAAAGTGGGCATCATGTCAAACTGCGGAAATTCGAAGCAGTGCATACTAGAATTCCAAAAATGGATTAGAATCCTGATGAAGATAGGGTCGACACAGATCTTCAGTAGGTCGAGAATCCGTCCGTAGGATTTTTCAAAGTTGGAGCGGACCTTCGGTGGCATTAACGCGCAGAGCCGTTCTAACTTCTCGGCATGGTATCGGGGAATATCCACTTTCTTCAATTGTCTACTAGTCCCTTCCATTTTCTAGAAAGCAAGATGTATGCTATGAAATTGATGTTAATGCGATATGCATGTACGTGTTTATTTTTCTTGAATATTATCATGTTTTATTTCTACATGATGCATAATAGTGTTTGTTTTTTGTATTCTAAAGGAAGATAAACTACCTATATGGATGTTTATGTTTATGAACAAGATCCCATTTTTTGGATTTATTTGACTTATTTTTATTTGTTTTATTCGATTTTTATGACCTTTTATCTCTTCTGTCGGACTGCATGACTACTTAGTTTACAAAGAACCTGAAACCAGGCTAGCTAAAAGGCAGATTGTCCGAGATAAAATGGTTTATTGCGAAAAAATAATTTTAGCGTTCCTTATCTCTTCTGTCAGACTGCGTGACTACTTAACTTATAAAGAACCTGAAACTAGACTAGCTAAAAGGCAGTCTGTCCGAGATAAGGGTGAAGGCATTGGTTTAGAAAAACCAACTTTGGCCATTATAACTAGAGTCGGGTAAGGGAGTTAGTTACGTGTGGGAAAGGTATTAACACCCCCACAACGCCCCTTTCGGGTTCCTTATGATGGACTATTCTTAAAATAAAGACAATAAAATTATGCTTCTATCCTATTTATTTATTATAGAATTTAAATAATTATCTACATGATCCTAATATCTAATGCGAGCTTTTAAATAATTATCTACATGATCCTAATTATCTACAAGAAAAACAATAAAAAAAAGCGATAAAAGAGAAGAGATATGAAGGAGAACCTCCGAAGCGAGCTTTTATAAATGTTGAACTTGAGGACGCTTTTTGGCAGTCCCCGCACTCTACAGAGACACTCTTCTCTCGATAAAAAATAAAGATGTCACCCTACCGAGGGCCAGATGTGTCAATTAAAGAGGACATCTTTAACCAATTTCTACCTTAACGAAAATCGGAAAGCTCACTCGAACCCTGGAAAAATACTCAGAGTCACTTTAAAGTGCCAAAAGACTTCCTAGAGAGTGGTAGGAGTGAATGGGTGTGTGAAAATGGGTGGAATGAGGCTCCTATTTATAGGAAAAGTGCTAGGCAGGTCGGGATGTCCCTCTGGGATTCGCCATTCGGGAAGGCCTTCTCGTCCTCGCCATTTGGGAAGGCCTTCTCGCCCTCGTCATTTGGGAAGACCTTCTCGCCATTCGGGAAGGCCTTCTCGCCATTCGGGAAGGCCTTCTCGCCATTTGAGAAGACCTTCTCGCTATTTGGGAAGGCCTTCTCGGCAGAATGTTTATTATTTTTATTTTTTATTTTTATTTTTAAGGCTAGGGAAGATTTGGGGTCTACAAACCATAACCAACAAGACAACATAGAATTGAGTGATGATAAAGATAATTCGATGGAACTAGAATTTGGACAGAATGGATGGACAAATGAACTAAGTCTCCTTATTAGGCCTCCTCCCGAGTCTCCAATCATGCTATATGCGAAATCAGTCAAGTCTTTTCCATGTGTTGGGCCTCCTGCAAATGAGGCCACCTTGTGCTGCAATGCCTCCTAGATTTTGAATTGGGTCCTGGTATTGATCCTTCTTGTCATGGGTTTTGACGTTCACATCAGATCGTAGACCCTCCATATTCAGCTTTGCCAATTTGCCTTAGCCTCCTCATGTGACTCTTGCACCTCAATGTAGGTTGGGATGTGCTATCTACTCCACTGGGTCAACCCTTTCAAATAGATGTAACTGCACCCTTTTTTCTGCCATACATATTCTGTTAAGGAGTCTCCATTGGTAAGTGATGCACCTACCCCACTACTATGTCCTTCATTCAAGGAATAATGGTCCAATATCTTTGTCATCTCTTATAACATAGATTGACAAAACTCTATCAATGATTGAATGAGTGAATCTTCAAGAATCGCACATTCTAGTCTCTACTGCTTCTCGTCTATCAGCCATTTTCCGTGGCATGGACAACATTGACCAGAAGGATTTGGTAGTGGGACCAATGACAGAAACCCCAAGAAAAGTTTCAATGCAAATAATAAAAAAGAGAAGCTTCTAGAAATATTACGGCCAATGGATAAGCTAAACTAGAGCCTATGGCTTCTATCTAGAGAGAAACTCTCTTGATCAGCCCAATACAATATTCATCTCCTCTCTCCTTATTCCCTATTTGCCTATTAAAGCAAACTGTATAATAGAATATGCTGACAGAATTCCCCCTTGCAAGTGCAGTAACAGCTTGCCACCTCACTAACTAACTCTCTCTTTTGGACCCACTTTCTTCCATTTTGTGTGGCATTTCTAAGTACAAATAATTTGTTTTAGCTCTAGCGTGTTAATGTTTAATTAGTATGGTAAATAAGTATGATTTTGACAATTTTAATACTGATGTTTTGATGCTTTTCTGCCGGTGAACTTTGTATTGGGAATGACATTTAGGTTCTGTTTGGATGACATGGCTGAGATGTGGACAGAGGTGCGAGAGAGCATGTGTTTCCACTAGTGTGATAATTTTGATATCTATTCTAATTGAGTTGTAACTTGTTCAAAATCATCAATATTACATTTGGGGTTGTATATAATTACTTTTCTAAATACAATTTCAGTTTTATTCATGTTGAAAGTCCCACATCACTTGTCTCGTGTTATTTGGTATGGTTTAAATACCTGTTAGACTATTCTACATATTGCCAATTGGTTTTATGTTGAAACCTTAACATGGTATCAGAGTCAAAACCTAACATCTTTCTGATTATTGTCTTGGGCCAAGAGTTTCCCTTTCGTTGTGGGTCAAAAGTACCCTTTGCCTGGTCCGGCAGACTTCATTGGAGGGGGCGTGTTGAAAGTCCCATATCGCCTGCCTCATGTCATGTCATTTGGTATGGTTTAAATACATGTTAGACTACTCCACATATTGTCCATTGGTTTTATGTTCGAATCTTAACAATTTAGATATAGGAATAGCAGTGAATATAAATGAGTATGAATGATTCACTTTGAAGGTTGTGGAGTGAGTAGTGTTAAACAAGAAAAATTATACAAGATGATATAAATAATTACAATAATTATGATAGTGTTGAAATTACATTACAATAGTTAAAATAATTGGAGTTTATTTGTTCCCTCTATTTTTAACTTTATGGTTTAGAAAAGAAAGTGAAGAAAAAAAAAAGAGTGGAAAGTGAGAAGTTGTGTGTTGTTTGGCAGGAAAACAAAATTAAAGCAAAGAAAATATTAGAAAGGAGAATGTGACAGCCGAAAAGTTAACATGTTATGCCATTGGAAAACAACACAACAAGCGCATAAAGAACTTATTCCAATTTTTTGTTTACCAGATATATAATGTAAATACTTTTTCTAGAAGATCTTTCAAACATTTGATCCCTGGATGTTTTTAAGATTCTATTGTGTGAAGTGACTTGTTATATATTCAGTCTTTGGATTTAATTTATCTTGGCATTTCAAAATCCAAGTACTGCTATTGTTTTGTATATTACCGTATCATTTGTTATTAGATATATCATTCAAGTACTAATACCCTATAATGATTTGGTTTCTGGGAAAAAAATTATTGTTACATCGGACGCTTTTAAAACTTTACTCAACATTGAACCAGTGAAGGTAACGTATTCACAGTTCATTAGTTTAATGGTGGTAGAATTCGTAATAATAAACTATAAAATATATCAAGTAGTAAAAAACAGTTAGGTAAAATTCTAAATTAGCATAAAGGGATTATATCACACATCTTATAAGATTAAAAAAATATAATAAATCTTAATTAATAGGAATGTATATGTACATATAACAACATTTAATTTAAAACATTTTAGAATAAAATGTTTAAAAATTAATTTAAAAAAATTCAAACTGTTTTAGGGAAAAGTTCTTATCCTGTTTTTGCTGGTTCTTGATCTGTTTGATTGGGTTTTTGGCTCCATCTGTTCGATTGGTTTTTGACTTGATTCTGAAATGGCTATTCTAGTCCAGTTTTAATAACTACGGTTACTAGTAATTTTTTATTTTTGTTTAGTGAAGTCTCTGAAATGTTTGTTGCATGTATCAAATATTAATTTTGGGCAGGCAATTTAGGACTCGGATCCTTTGCATTTTTATAATTTACTTCAATGGGCAAAACCTTTTCTGTAGGTTTTACAAAAGGCATTGGAAGTTTGGGACCTTCAAGTTATCCCTCTTGACTCGCCAGTTGCTGAGCCTGCCCAGATTGACCCAGAGCTGGAAAATGCCTTCATTTGTCATTTACAAGATCATTGGTTTTGTATCCGTAAAGTGAATGGGGAGTGGTATAATTTTGACAGTCTCTATGCAGCGCCACAACACCTTTCCAAGTTTTACCTCTCTGCGTATCTTGACTCTTTGAAAGGCTTTGGGTGGAGCATATTCCTGGTTAGAGGAAATTTTCCAAAAGAGTTCCCCATCTCCTCATCTGAAGCTTCTAATGGTTTTGGGCAGTGGCTTTCGCCTGATGATGCTGAGAGAATAACTAAATCTTGCAACTCAGTGCAGGCTCCGCACCAGAGAGTTAACGAAAGGCAACAACATTATGATCAGTTTCTTTCTCACGGGGAAGCTGAAATGTTATTAGACATGGAAGATGAGGATCTAAGGGCTGCAATTGCAGCTAGTCTGATGGATTCGTGCCCAATTGTGACCAATGCTGAAGCCAGTACTCCCCAAAATGATTATCAAAGTAGTAAACAAGTCGCCAGTACTGAAGCTACCCCTCTAAATGATCAACATCCAGAACAAGCAATAACTACTGAAGCTACCCCTCTAAATGATCAACACTCCAAACAAGTGGAACCCATTGAAGCTACTCCACCTCTCAATGCTCCAAGCAACAAACATGTGGCAGCTATTGATGCTCGTTCTCCACTAAATGATCAAAACAGCGAAGAAGCGGCATCTACTACAGGTGATAACTCTCAAGATGAAAACCAGAATAAAGAGAAAGCTGTCTAAGAGTGTGCTTAATTTGCCCCTAATTTGTTTTTACAATTGAGGACAATATCTATTATACCAGTTTTAGGTGGTCGAAACATACATCAGTGGCTTAAAGTCATGGTGCTGTGCAGTATACACATTCTCATTTAAATTGCATGATGTATAAACTGTAAGGAAACCCTTCAGCGTTTCCATCGATTATATGATAGTTACACCAAGTTTTGTTAATATTGTGGAAAACCCTCAGGATTTCCATGTGATTATGATTATGATTAATTCCCATTTTTTGACCATCATGCATGCTGGTACTACTACAATAAACTTGCTCAGGTTGGGAATAGTGGCGACCAGTATTTTCGATGTCAAAATAATATAACGAACAAATAATATGAATAGATGAAAAAAATACATAAAAGAGAATATAAAATCTATTTTTTTGGTTTTATTATTTACAAGAAAAAATAAAATAAATTTAAATTATATAAATAATATTTTAGTTATATAAATTATATAAACACACTCGGACAACAGATTTATCCGGGTCATTTAGAAAGACTTTTCATAACATACTTTGGAAAGATCAAAGAATTTTTACAAGATTATCTCATATACGCATCTATAGCTGGATGTTTCCATGATTTAAGCATTGGAGAAAAGATGTTTCTCAAACTACCAGGAAAACTTGGCCAAAAGATCCGAGAATCTTGAAAAAATGAAGAGGTTACTCCCATGTTGAACAACCTCTCTATACGTATACAACACATCATGAAAGTGATGGAAGATACGTGTACACATATTGCTATACAAAAGCAATTGAAAAATTCCGATAAATTTATACTCCTCGGCAGTATAATCAAAACAAGCCTTACAGAAGGCCTATACCTAGAAGTAAATCTAGGTATAATAAAAACTACAATCAGAATTCTTATTTTGAAAGACAAAAACCCACAACTTCTAGAAAGACTTACACGATTAGGTCTTCAAATTCTAGAAAACAAACTCTAAATCTTGATAGACACGTCAGAAAATTTAGAGAAAACAAAACATATAAGCAAACTCTGAAATGTTTCGCTTGTAATAAACCAGGACACTTCTCTAGAGATTGTCCTAACAGTACAAACCTTTACACTAAAGAGGCATTGTAGGCATTCTCCATCCTCTCTCCTCTCCTCCTTCTCTCTACTTCTTATGTAAATTTCTATTATCAATAAGAGAAGTTATTCAGCATCTCCCCTCTCCTTCTCCTTCTCCTCCCCCCAAGTAAGTTTCCTGCTCCCTCTTATGGAGTAGTTTTCTTATAAGGGCGTCCTCGGATGCCTTAAGCTTTATTTATTTAAAGATGCGATAATCATTTAAAGACTTAAATAATTTTTTGTACAGCTTTATTTGTGTTCATATAAGCTTATGAGGAGATGTCTAACCGGCTATGCTAGATTCAGTCATCTCATAATCTTATCATGGACTTGTGTGTTTATTTTTCCTGTCTTTACTTTTCTGCATTTAATTTCGTTCATATAAGCTTATGAGGAGATGTCTAACCGGCTATGCCAGATTCAGTCATCTCATAATCTTATGGTGAACACTTTTCTTGCTATAACCGACTTTATCTCGGACAGTCTTCATTTTAGCTAGCCCGGTTTCGGGTTCTCTGTGAGCTAAGTAGCCACGTTGACCTACAGAAGAGATAAAAAGTTATAACATGTTTTAATTTATTTGTTTTCCTGTCTCTTTACTTTCTTCCTTTCCATCCCCCTTTCGGGTTTCAGGGCAGTTTATTCTGGGTTCATTCCCGGTTTTGTCTGTTCTGTCTGCCCTCGGGTATCTGAGCAGTGTTTTTCCCATACTGGGTTTTCCTGCTTTCTCTGTACCATCCCCCCCCTCTCTTGGTATCAGAGCAAGGACTTTCCTTGGTTACCTTGAATATGATTCTTTGTAATTGAACTGGTTTGTATTCTCTAGGATACCCAGCCAGTATCTGGATATTTTTTGCAATTGAACTGATTTGTATTCGCTAGGATACCCAGCCAGTAGTAGGGCAGGTTAAGGCCAGGGAGTGCCACGAGACCCTAAGTCCCGCAAAGCTACCTTTGTGGGTTGAGGAATACGTTGCAGATTACAGCAGTCTTTGCAAAAATATTTAGTACCTTTGTGGGTTGAGGAATACTTTGCATATTGCGACAGTATTTGCAAAGAAAAATATTTTCGTTTTTTTTAATTCTCTTTCTTGTATGTGTGTTTTTCTTTTTATCACTTTATAAAAAAAAAACATAAAAATCAAAAATTGTAAAAAAATCAACAAAAAGATTTTCTTTTAAGCCTTATGATTATCTATATTCTTTTATAAATATTGTTTTACAGTGTATTCCGTGGATTCCCTTATCTCTCTCCACTTATCTGCTGCCTTACTTTCTTGCTCTCTGATTTTTCGCCTTTTTTTTTTAAATTTTATTTTTGTTTTAAAAATTTTAATGGAAGGTTCACAGCCTTTCAACACACAGCCTTTTTTAGGCAAAGACTATAAAACAACTTTGGTAGCTATTGAACAAATCACAAAATCCCCTCCTGTGGGATACAAAAAGCCTACTTCGAAGTAGACAACACACACAGATCCTAATTGGACAAAACAACACGATAATAGCACTTCTGGAAGAAGTGTCTAGAAAGTTAAATTGTTTAATAGATTTAAACAAAAACACAAACAAATCTAATGAGATAGATGATCTTATTAGCCAGGTTTCTAAATTATCTTTAAGAACCAACACATACACTAAGACAATTTCTAAAAATACACAGAAATTTGTTAAAGTGTCTACAAATGGTCTTAAAAATCAGACCAACAAAGAAGAAGTTTCACTACTAGAAAAATGGTTAATAGTGACCGAAATTAGTAACAGAAAAATTCGATCATCGATAGTAATCGAATCGATGGCTCGATTTAGTTTTATATTTAGTGGCTCGATTTAGTGACTAAAATTTCGATCACGGAAATCGAGTCATCGATTCGGTCACAAAATCGATCAGCTGATTCGGTCACTACTTAGAAAAATGGTTAATAGTGATTGAAATTAGTGACCGAAATAGCTGAATCAGTGATTGATTTCTCTTTTTATATATAGTGACTCGATTTAGTGACTAAAATTTCAGTCACTAAACAAATAATATATAAATTAGTGACTATTTTTTATTTATATAAATACTTTTTAAAAATATTTTAATAATATATTAAATATAAATCTACTTAATAATTTAAAATAATTGATAAAATTTTAATAACATTATAAAAAATTTAAAAAATAGTTTATTAACTTATTAAATAATTTAGTAATATAGTATGTAAATAAAAAAATTAAAATTAATTATTAAATTAATTACCTATTCAATCATTAAAATAATTATTAATTTAATCTCTTTTATATATATAATCAATTATTAAATTAATTATTAGTTTAGTCTCTTTTTGATATATATATATATATATATATATATATATATATATATATTACTTTTGTGTTAATAAAAATGTATTTCAATGTATTTATAAAAAAATTAAAATTATTTATAAATTTATTTAAAAAAATTGTTAAAAAAATCAAAATAATTAATTAAAATAAATAATTTTAATTTAATAAATGTGTTAATATTATTAGTTATTGGAGAATTAAATTTATAATAATAATTATATAAAATTATAGAATTAATAAAATTTAAATTATTGGTATTTTTTTAATCATGAAGCTAAAATTTGATAATATTAATAAATTAAAATAAAAAAAATAAAAAAATTATATATATATCACTTTAATTTTTTTAATTAAAAATAATTTCATAAAAAAACTAATATTTGAAAATAAAAATGCAAAAGTATATAGTTTTTCTTTTATTTAATTATATTTTTTATTTTTTACTTTTTGGGTTTTAGTCCATAACAACAATTTAATTGCTCTAATTTCCACAAAAATATATAATTTCTCTTATTAACAATTTTTTTTAATCAGATTAAGAAAAGTATTACTAATAAGATTCAAAACTAGTACCTTGGAGTTAGATATTAATACTCCAACCACTAAACTGTTAGAATTTTTTAATAAAAATTTACAAATAAATTATATTTATATACAAATAAATATATATCCAGTGTAAATATATAAATATAAAATATATAAATACAAATATATTTATATATTTTGATATATTTATATGTTCGATGTGAGGATCACGCTAGAGGGTGAAAGTGTGTGTCGAGTAAGTTTTCAAAATTTGATGTCAAATTTGTGAGAGAGTCTCTTTATATGGATTTTAATTTAATGATAGAATATAATCTTTATAATTTATTTATATAATGATATAAAATAATTGTTTTCTTTATTTATTTTTATTTTATTTTGATTTATTCTTTTTATCTTTTTTTCTTCTATTATTTAATTAAAATTCTTATATTAAAATAATTTTTCATTATTAAAAATAATTAAATATTTATTTTTAAAAATATTTAATTTAACAAATTATTATGAATTAATCTATGTCTGGAAAAAATAATTATTAAAAGATGATTTTGATTAATTTATAATAATATATGTTAGGAAAAAATTGTTCTATTAATAATCATAATTAGATTAATTTATAATAATTTGTTAAATTAAATAATTTTAAAAATAAATATTTAATTATTTTTAATATTGAAAAAATTATTTTAATATAAGAATTTTAATTAAATAATAGAAGAAAAAATATAAGAAGAATAAATTAAAATAAAATAAAAATAAATAAAGAATTTTTTTATATCATTATATAAATAAATTATAAAGATTATATTGTGTCATTAAATTATAAACTCATATAAAAAGACACGTTCACAAATTTGACATCAAATTTTAAAAATCTACTCGACACATTTTCACCTTCGAGCGTGCCCTCACACCCAACATATATATATATATATATATATATATATATATATATATTTGTATTTATATATTTTATATTTATATATTTACACGGATATATATTTTTATTTGTAT